TCATATGATAAAAGTAATTTCGTAGGCGAGGTAATAAAAAAAATCAGGTATTACACCACCTTATAACTGCGATTTGAATCCTATAGACTCTATATGGTATAAATATTATATATATATATATATATATATATAACATATTATATGGATATAATATATAGTTAGACACAATATAAACCCAACAGTATCCGCCCATGTAATTAATGCAGTTAGAACTCGGTGTGAATTAATACTACAGAGCAATTGCAAAGAAAGTGTTAATCATGTACTTGAAGTGGAAAATAATTATAAAAAAATTGAGACAACTTAAAACCAACTATATTCTGACCACTAATTTAATTTAATATTTATTTATTCTTTATATAATTACAATTAAGCAGTATGCAATAAAATAGAATGTATTCATATGTTTCTGTGTATTGATCGACAGTATCCCACACATCAGCTTTTTTAAGTATTGCAGTGTATAAACTATTACACAACTATATTATAAAGTAACTGATGCAGATGCGAAAAACGCTCCTTATTCAATAACCACATATCTCATGATCCCTTTCCTAGAGAAAAAACTTGGGAAAACTGAACACAACCATTTGCAAAAAAAAAAGGATAGGGCAGCAAACATTTCTATATGTTGGAAATAAATTATAAAATATATTTCTTGGTGAAATGAAAAATATTATAACATCTAAAGGGTTCGGCTATAAATTGTCTTAATTCGTTAAAAGCAACTTCAATTAATGCAATCCATTATCTTGGTTCCTCTTCTCTTCTTTTGGTCAATTTATTTCGGTAGGTTAGGTTTATGTATTTTATTTTGTATGGGTAATTTGTAAAAAAATAGTTGTGCTTAAGCTAGCACGAATTCCATTAACTAAGTGTCATGAATTTTATTACAAATGTTATTATGATATTGTCTTATTTTTTTGTTTATCCCAAATTTAAAATTAAATTTAATACACTATTAAACTCAAGCATCCTGTACTCAGTAGTATCATGCGTTATGTTATCTTGTGGGCAATAAACAAACAATTATTATTATAATCATCATTTGTAGCGCGATATCACCCTAATGGTTTGTTTTTCACCCAGTGATCGTTTAAAATTGTTTTTTCGCATTTGTTTTGAAACGCCCTGTATAAAAAACAATTTTGTAAAAATTTTTGTTTTAATGTTCGTCGTCATATTGATACATCCCCCTGATTTAACTGATTCACCTTTGACATTTAAAAAGAATCTAAATTATTTTTTTCTAGAATTGCAACGATTGATATAAGATCAATTTCCTTCCCCTTGTCTGGCGGGTTGTCAACCCTCCATTCTTTCCCTTTCGCCCGTTGTGTAGCTAAATTATTGAATAAACTTCCATTTCTTTAAGTTAAGTTACTTGGGAAAAGCACCACCAGCGTTTATTTATCCTAATTTCGAAACCTGAACTTGTATGATAAATAATCAACGTTATTATTGTTGTTAATATTTATTTGTTTTACCGTAATATATGTAATAATTAATTATAAAAATAACCGGTTCCGGCGGGCGTTTGCATAATAGAATAATATTATGTATTTAATGAGTCGTGTGCCGTCAACAGCAGTCGCCCCCAGATCAGATGCATATGTTATCGTTTCATTTCCCTTATTTATTTTTAAAAGGCTTTCGAGGGGTTGCTGTCTCCCGTCACCTCCACAGCGCCACGTGGCTCTTTAATATGAATTTGTCACCACCTGAGACGAAAAAATCAGAAGAAGCAGTTTTTAAATGCTGTTTGGGGCACCGCGATATGTCTTTTAATTTTCAATGTGAACAGCTTTTGGATCAAACTCATTTAAAAATAATCGATTTCAAGAAAAATGCTCCCATATCGTAATTTTTTCTTTCGCATTGTTTGCAGTAAATAGTCAATATACAGAGTGGATCAAAAATTAGATGTCGATACTAAGTTCCCATTTCAAACACCATTTTGTTAAATCTATTTTCGGATTCTGTGTCAAATTTCATGCCTAATTCATGTATACCCTATACCTATCTCTCACTTTTAATGAGAAAAAAAAATAACAAACACAATTACATTTCTGGCGCATCTAAATGAAACTCAGAGAATTGAAATTTTAACTTCATCTGGGGATAACTCAAGAAGAAGTTTGTAATTTTTCTAACGCAAAATACCCAGAAAGTAAAATTGAGAGAGTAAAGTCCAGTCAGAGCTATTGTTCAGTTTCGTCATAGCATGACATCTTATCTAGTTTGTTAGTGGATGTGGTAAATTGACACGGGAATTTTGGTTGTCAGTCTCCATACTTCAAACTTTTTATGAACGGGCAATTTAAGTTTCTGCAAATTCTTAATTAGGTAGGGACTTATGTTATATTATTTCTTATTGTAGCGTGTTGCCGATACATTAGATATTTCTCTTAGATCGGTGCATAAGCTTGTTTCTGGAGGCATCAAAACCGATCATAAACATAAAGTTTATGAAAAATTTATGTATATATACGCAACAGGTATGAAAAAAAAAACATAATTTTTCTACTCCCGTCTGTAAAATACCTAATTACACACCGATCTAGCGCTTAGCAATTCTGACGGCCATATCAGTGTTGTTTTGCGAAAATGTACCCAAAAACTAACCGTCGTAGAAAAAGTATAGTATGCAACCAACACGTTAGGTAAAATTTTTGACTCACTCGTTCATTAAAAACTCGCTCCGCTCGTGCCAAATAAACTCGTGAGTCAAACGCCGTTTACCGCACTTGTTGCATAATATACTATAACTCACCCGTTTATTAAACACTCTCTGTTTACCATATTTGTTGCATAATATACTATTTTCTACTCCTTTCTTTAAAATATCTAATTATTCACAGATCTAGCGTCACTGGTTTATTAAACTCGTTACTCAAATGCCATTTACCACACTTGTTGCACATTATACTAGTTTCTACTCTCTTCTATAAAATCTATAAAACTCTTTCATGGTTATGAATCGAAAAATCCATTCATTTTAATAATTACTTTTTCTCGAAATTGTCACGCAAAGGTTTACTTGAAATCGATGGTGTTGATATTTCACATGGTTCTTTAGTTGATATATTAAAAAGGTTAAAATTTTCTTGAAAAGATTGCAGTGTCTCACGCCGAAAACATCTGATGGAACAACCATGCATTGCTTATAAATTACTGACATAATTGGGGAGAATACATGAAAAACCAGAATGGTGCCTTTTGACTTGAGACTTTGATATTTAGTAAAGGAGTGTCTAGAAAAAGCTGCCAAGATGATTCTCTACAAACAGTTCGGAAAAAGTATGGCGAAGGAGTTCGCTATATAATTTTACATGCCAATCTTAGTAAACGTTCATTAATAATAATAGTCAATGCATCGTATCACTATGGAGTTGCTGAACCAATACATAATCAAGGTTAGATCAGTAAGTTTAATGAAAGACCTGGTATGGGTGTTAGTGACGCAACACTTGTCAGAAAAACTGCATAGGAAGTTCTCAAGTATTTTTTTTTAATATAAAATTATTTCAATATATAATCTTTTAAGAATGGACAACTTAGGATTGGAAAATGGCCATCGTGTTTTGCGGCTTCCGCCTTATCATTGTCAATTTAATTCGATGTCGATGGTTCGATTGGATTGTGAACTGTATTATGATGCCAAAATAGGTTCCACCAATCCCGTAACATCCTATGCCGTACTACTTTTACAAAGCGAAGCATTTGCTCAAGTAAAATAATAATAATAATTCTGATGAAGTATTCATAACACCACAATACTTTGTTTCAGGTTTCAGCCGAAAATTGGAACAGTATTTTAACAGTTGTTATCGATATCCATGAATCAGACTCGGAGGAAGCAATTTTTTCCTGTGACTAGTTTTTGTTCACCTTCTTTGTTCTTAGCGTTATGGGTTTTCGTTGCTTTTGCTTGAAGCATTGGGAGTTTTTGAAAAATAAACCTATCTAATTGATATTTGTTTCCTCCCATATATTTGATGCGTTTTATTTTGTCCGTTCGTATAAATACGCCACTGAAACAAGTTGCCATAATTTCATTATAACAAAATAATAATATGTACCTAATTTACCACGTCTTAAAAACCATTACAATTACATAGAATTTTACTTTATATTTTAGGATTGCATATTGGAAAGTACGTTACTTTCAACTAATGAATTAATTAAAATCGGAACGCATCTAAAAATGGTAGCAATATAGCGAAGACATACGGATCATTATTGATGACGTCACTGTACGTATGTACTCAGAACTGCTCTCACTGGAGTTTACAAATAATCCCCAATGGATGAGAGACAATCATTCATAACAACCACCAAAAATTCATGTTTGGGCAGGGATTTTGAATAACAAAACAAAACAAATTAGTACTATTATTATTACAAAGAATAATGTACAGAGGAGGAGGTTAACGCTGTTAAGTAAAAATGCTGTCCAAGCGACGTTTAAACACAGACAAGTTAGGTGCACATACATCTTCGGGTAAACTGTTCCAAAGTTGCAATTGTTCTAACAGAATTTATTCAGATTCAATCCATTCCAAGAACCTTCCCACCACTCCATCCGATCTAAGGGTATCCAGCATCTAGAATCCGATAATGGATTTTAAAAAACGTGTTTCATTTAAAAAAAGAAACTTGGTATAGAAACTTGGGTATGGATTTTTGAGCAACACTATATATTTTCTATTTACAATTAAAAATCGAATCGAATTTGTTTCACAAAACTGCAACTCTCATTTAAAGCTAATATTTTACTCACGAAAACGGCATTTTTTAGGTTCTTTTATATTTTTTGTTCATAACCGAGACCGCATAATCGCAAAAATGCTAAATGTTATACATAAAGAAATTTTTTTAAATATACAGGGTTATTTTTAACCCTAATTTTCACGTTTCCTTTCCTTTGAGAAATATCGGGTCATGCATAATTAAAATCCGGAACAAACATTTAGAAACTTATTTATTTAAGAGTAGACGATAACATTTCACACGTAAGTCAGCGGGATGGTGATGTTTTCATCTTTGGCTATGACGTCGATTAGGTTGTCGTACCAGTTTCGCTGTGTCTGGAACTTCTCCAGGATACCCCTCTCTATGGAAAGCCAGGCACGTGGTGAGAAAACATTCGACAAATTGGCGTTCTCCAAATATGACCTCAACCTTCCGAAGAAAGTAAACCTGGGGCCGTCGAACACATTCGCCGAAGGCAAAATAGTCAAGAGGGAGTAAAGGTTGTAGCACTTGGGTAGAAGGGTAGTGCTTTCGCTATCGGCCATCAGCTTAACCACCTCTGACACCTTTTTGCCGTGGAACTGCGAGTGCATTGGGTTGCTGATGGTGTCCATATCGTTCTTCAAACCCTTCTTGGAGAAATGGCGGGGAAACGCTTTCACCAATTGGACGTAATCCTCGTTAATGTCCACGTATTTCATTATATCCGCCAAGTTGTGGAAGGAGTATTTGATGTAAGCGGAAAATCTATCCCGCAGTTGGTTGATGACGATGTCGAGCAGCTTGCGGTGTTGATCCCGACTCGCTGAACCGTCCGTGGAGAGTGTCGCCTCGGTTATCTCCATCTTCACTTCGGATCCTTCTTGTATTATTTCCTCTTTGATTTCTATCAGGTCGCAGGACTTGGAAACTTCGTCCCTGCAACGCTCCAGGTGCCCGAGGCACTTGGTGATCTCCTCGATGCAGAAGGCGTGGCTGTTGGTCTTCTGGCGAAGCGCGTTGCTCACGGCTTCCACCCGTTGGAAAATATCGTCGAAGACTTTCAAGTAGAACTCGAAATTGGAGTCGCAGAGGGCGTTTTTGAAGTTTCCGGCCTTCCATACGGTGTCGGTGTCGGACTCGTAGCAGTTGACGATCTGGTCGAACATTTCAGTGAGCTTGGACTTTTCATTCAATATAAACGGCACCAGTTTGCTGTAGCAATCCAAGACGTCGGCCTCGTCGGTGACCCTATTGAGGAGGTCGCGCCTTAACGGCGCTTTGAAGAACTGTTCGATCTCCTTGACGGCGGCGAAGAATTTGCGTATCGAAAGGTCGTGCGAGCAACTCTGTTGTATGATCAACGGCAGGGGGCGCGACAAGCAATGAGTGAACAAAGCCGAGTCTATCTTCTCCTTCATCAACGTCTGCAGGTTCCTGAGTTCTTCCGTGGACACGCAAGCGCCGTCGCAAGTGTAAGCGAGCAGCTTGGTGCCGGCGTCGAACTTTTCGAGGACGTTGAGAATCAGTTCGCACAGCGCCTCGCCGGTCCTGCTCTCATCTAGAGGGAAAAACCCCAGCAGGCGCTCGCGGACTTCCCCGTGGTCGTCGATGTACCTCAGCGATATCGAGCACCTCGGGGAAGACGCCGCGAAACTGACGTCGTCCACGAAGCACACGTAGAAGCTAGCTTCGCAAACCTCACGCCTGATGTGCTTGATTATCTTCAGCTCGATATTGTTGAGCGTCGCTTCGATGATGTCGTCAAAAGCGGACTCGAAGTACCCCTTCCTCTGCCAGTGTTCCTCCAGCTCGAGGTTAGGTTTGAGGGCGAGCTTCACGAACTCGGCTAGGGTGTCGCCGTTCAGAATCTTGTCTCTGTAGTCATGTTTCGAGAGCAGGCAAATGGCCTCGACCGCGGTTCTGAATATCTTCAAGTTGTTCTTCACCTCGCGGTTGAAAATGTTGCGCGACAACATCTGCAGCTTGTTAAGGTTATCAGCACCGAACGACTTCCGCCTCATCTCCTTGTAAAGCAGGTAACTGTTAAGGTGCTCCTTGTTCCAGTTGTGCTTCCTCAAAGCGGCCCGCACGTTCTTCAAGTCCATGAAACCCTCGGAGTTCCACAGCGATTTTTTCTTCGACACCAACAGGCACGGCCAGCAGTACAGGGTGTTTTTCACGACGCTGCCGCATAACCAATCGTGGTTATCATACGTTATCGAATTGAAGCTCCGCATCTTGTCCTTGTCGTATTGTTGTATCGGTAATCTAGGCGTCGGCCGATTCATCTGCAGCAACGCCTGTTGCTCCTTTACCGTTCTCCGGCGAAACGAAAGTTTCAGCAGCGAAGCGACGATGTCGTCCGAAATATCGGTGGACGTTTGAGGGGCCGACATGTTTTCGAACTCGGGAATATGGCGCACCGACGCATGCGAGGGACAGTCACTCTCGAACTAGGTCGCGTCGGCAGGCAGGCCTGGGCCTACGTTGACCTGCGCAATGGGAGCGTCGAGAAGGCCGGTAGATTCGACTTAACGACACGCGTTGCCGCGATTCGTCTCAAGGTCAAAGGAAATTCCTAGCGCGAGAGTGAGAGAGAGAACCACGCGGTCGTCTTCGATTTTGGTCCCGTTTTGTTTGTTGTTATTAAATCACGGGATATTTGGGGCACTTTTCGTTACGTCAGATTTGAAGACAATGGTATAGTTTTGCGACTTAAACTTGCGTGCATAGAAATCGGCCCGTTGTGAACATTTGACTTCAATTTCTTTTTTTTTTTTTGAGAAACTACTGATCAGATAAAGAAAAACGTTCTTTGAAAAACATTATATGCTTCAATACGAGTTTAAATCGATTAAAATTTAGGTTTAGCACAGTAAAATAACTGCACGAGTCAAAATAACTTTTTTATGACTACAATCAAATAGTGTTATTGACAAATAGCACCATTGTGAACTTTTGACTTCAATTTCATTTTTTTAGACTTTTTTTTACTAAGAAGAAAATTTGATTAGCTTTAATACGAGTTTAAATTTATTATTTTTTTTAGAAAATACTGATCAGATAAAAAAAAGGAAGACAATTTGATATGCTTTAATATGAATATAAATTGATTAAAATTTATTTTTTAGGTTTAGCATAGTAAAATAACTGAACGAGTGAAAATAACTTTTTTTATTACTAAAACCAAATAGCAAAATAACATCTCTTACTCGATTAGGCATAGACCTAATCAAGTTCGCTATTATTTTTCGTGAAATGTTAAACCACTCTGCCTCTACTGCCACAATAAGCTATGCGGTCGAGATTGGGATTCGAAGTCTAGCTCAAATTCTCCGTTCTAGCTCATCCCATAAATATTCGATCGGATCGAGGTCGGGACTGCATGCTAATCACTTCATAACTATAAAGCTGACTTCTGTAATCGAATCTTGTCCGATGCTTGAGATGTACGGCCTAGCATTATCATACATAAAAACGAATGGAACCACGTGATCTGATAAAAAAATCCTCGATGTCCCTAGCACCAGAGTCGGTTCGTCCGTCCATAGAAATTGCACCCCATATCATGCAGCATTCTGCAAATCGCTCTCCTGGTCTTCGGTACAATTTTTTTTTAACAGAACAGACCCCCATTGGTCCAATGTCCAATTCAGATGATCCCGCGCAAAGCGTAGGCGCACTTGTCGATGACCTGCAGTAAGTTTTGGACCAATTGCAGTTGTTTTTAGGTTCAGGATATTTTCCTTAAGTCTTCTTCTCATTCTACACTGACTAATAGTCACTCTTCGAACTTCATGCATCTGTTGTTGTACTTGAACCGTATTTCTTATTATTATTGGCACTTTAAAGTCATCACGAACGGTTGTAATTCGCCATCTGCCTATTCCAGTGTGCCTAGCAAAGGATTCAGTCTCCTCATACCATTGGCATACTCTTCGAACTGCTGCGCGTGTCATATCCAGTTGTCTAGCAACAGCTCGCTGGCGAAGTCCACTTTCGAATAAAGAGCTAACTTGAGCGGCTTTTTGCGGTGTAGAAGCTTACATAGTTAAATGCTATTCAAATGGTTAAAAATAAATTATGGGAAAATTAAACTGGCAAAGGCGATTAATTTAAGTCTATAACAAGTTTGTTACTATCACTATAACTATTGTATGAACACTACGCATATAAGTGATCCGCACTCTTGACAAATTTAAGCTCATACTAAAGCGTATTAAATTGTCTTCCAAATTGCATGTTTATTTTTTGTACCAGATAAATAGTAAAAAAATACTAGGAAAAAAATACTATAGTAAAAAATTTACACTGAGGCCGATTTCTATGAACGCAAGTTTAGTATTCCCCGACATATGATAAATGATCATGACTGTAATAATGCTATTAGACATTTCTGGGCCGAAAAATCAAAGAAATTTACCCGCGAAAATCGAAAATAAAAAATACGACAATATTTTTGGCACAGCATATGTAAATTCTCTCAATTTTTAATTTATAACGGGTGAATAGAGCTTTTCACTAGTGATATCAATAGCAATTGTACCGTCTGCTAAAATAATATTGAAAAATGTGACCACCCAATAAGTTGATAGATGTGTCTCAGTTTATACAGGGTGTCCCAACTAGGTGGCGCCGTTTTGGTGAATTTAATTAACAAAATCTCAAGATTTTCAAATGGAGCACCCTATATTTTTAATCAGATATCAATTCTAGGACAAAAAAAAAGTTTGTAATTTTTCTTATATTTAATTTTTTCTTACTTTTTCAGATATTCGAGGTTTAACATAACACCTGTATAAATTCTGGTTGAATTTAAAGCTTCCCACATTAGATCACTTGTTTTCAACATTAGGTATTTTTTAAATAGCAAAGACAGGATACTACATCTCCAGATATACGAATAAAACCTATTACTAACAATATAGGGTGTCCATTATTACGTGGAGATTTTGAGAAAAATCGACTCTATACTAAATTTTTAATAAAATTTCAGACAAACAGAAACGCCAAAGTTTGTTTATACCTTAATGCACCAATAAAAAAAGATTGTGATGTCATAGCCAACTACATTTTTAAATATTTTGATATTTCTTTAATGTTTTAATGCCAGATGAAACTAGCACTTTAAGAGGAACATTTTTAACTAAAATTTATGGAAAGAATTAATGAACACTTTTTTTTTTAGATTTATTTATTCAAATTTGTTACTTTGGTGAGTTAGCCTATAAACTGTAATTAGGTATTTTTTTATTTGGTATTTTCAATCAAGGCTAAATAATTAATTAACCATACAATGGTTCTTTAAATATAAATTCTGAATGTTTTATTCGTATATCTGGAGTATTATTTATATCTTTAAAAGAAGTAAGATCATGTCTTAGTTATTTAAAAAATGTCTAATGTTGCCAACAAGTGCCCTAATCCGGGCAGCTTTAAATTCAACAAGAATTTATACGGGTGTTATCTTAAACTTCGAATTTCTCAAAAAGTAGCAAAAATTTAAATATAAGATAAATTACAAAATTACCTTATTTTTATCCTAGAATTGATATCTGAATAAAAATTTAGGGTGTTCAATTTGAAAATCTTGAGATTTTGTTAATTGAAGTCGCCAAAATGGCACCTCCTATTTAGGACACCCTGCAGAAGCTGAAGTGCATCTGTCAAACTGATTGAGTATTGCATCAGCTCCTCAGACTGTGGTTAAATTTTCATTGCAATATCTACGCCAGTAGCGTCACAACTTAATTATATATTGGGCATTGAAAATATGCAAAATTCGAATAATATATAAGGTTGGTCGGAAAGTCATTTCGTTTTTTCCCTTCAGAGGACTTAATTACGTTTTTTCGAAACCAACTTCACACTTAAGCCGCATAACCATTATATGTCTTGAGAGCTGATATTGCAAGGCTTGTGTGTGTGTGTGTCGAAGCTGACAAAGATGCGATAAAAGCATTAGTTGATGCAAATCGGCGAATAACCACACGAGAGATCGGTGAGAGATTAAATTTGTCGAATTCGACTGTTTATGGCCATTTGAAAGACATAGGCTTAACCTCGAAGCTCGGTGTATGGGTGCCCCATGTCCTTACGGAGCGAAATTTGTGTCGTCGCGTTGACGTGTGTGATTCGCTCCTCAAACGTCAAGAAAATTTTTGAAGCGGATTATTACTGGGGACGAAAAATGGGTTGTATACAACAATGTTAAACGCAAGAGGTCATGGAGCAGAAAAGATGAACCGTCTCAAAGCGTGTCAAAAGCCAACATTCACCAAAAAAAGGTGATGCTCTCCGTTTGGTGGGATGTCAAAGGAATCGTTTTTTTTGAGCTTTTGCCGGAAAATACAACGATTAATTCAGAAGTCTATTGTCATCAACTGGACAAATTGAAAGATTCACTTAAAGAGAAGAGGCCCGAATTAATCAACAGGAAGGGTGTAGTGTTCCACCAGGATAGTGCGAGACCTCACACAAGTTTGGTTACTCGCCAAAAACTTTTACAGCTTGAATGGGACGTACTGCAACATCCACCATATTCTCCAGATCTGGCGCCTTCCGACTACTATTTGTTCCGGTCCCTGCAAAATTTTTTGGATGGCAAAACCTTTACCTCAAATGAAGATGTCAAAAACCACCTGAACCAGTTTTTTGCCAGCAAAGACCAAAACTTTTATGAGAGGGGAATTATGTTACTGCCAGAAAGATGGTAATAAAATATTTATTCATTATACGAAAACTGTCTTTCATATTCCCCAAAAAAAACGAAATGGCTTTCCGAACAACCCAATAATAATAATTCGAAAACAACAAAGTTGATGTCGGAGGGGACACTTTCGGGACACCCTGTATCAACAAAATTATAATATTTTAAATCTTCAAGACAGTCTAAAGAACTTTTCTACGAAACTTTTTTTCGTATCTCCTATGGGTTTCCAGATCGTATGGTGGGTCGTTATATTTGCCAAACGATGTACATGAGACCAAAATATAATTCTACTATGGAAGAATGGCATATGATATGCCATATTCTTTTTGTTCTTTTGTGCTGTCGTTAAACAAGTTTCGTAGAAAACATCACCATGGTTGAATATGGAGAGCACAAAGAAATCACATAACATTTTTTTAAATTTCATTGACAGAACCAGGGTACTATTGTACAACAGCTTTAATCCCACGTAAGCAAGTTGAATATAATTTAAAATGCGTCTCTGAAATCTCATTGAATTATCAAAAATAAATTTCTGACAGTAATTTTTAAGGTACAATCCCCTATTTTTATAATAATTTTGTTTTTTATATGATAAACTTCATTTTTTGAGTTTAGAATGAGGGAATGCTGTCTTAAGATTGACAAGGACGAAACAAACTATTTTTAGTGATATATAGATATATATGTTTGAAGAAATGTATAGCCTGATCACTTAACCATACAAAATGTAAAACTGCTAACAATGTTTTGTGATTTATTGTATCAAAGGTTTTGCAAAATATAATAATACGAATACTGTGATTTATGTACGGTAAATTCCATGGAAGCCCTTTAAATTCAAGCGTATCCTAATCGTAAACCACTCCATCACAGCTTGTTCACTTGCAGCTTGTTATTTTTTATAAAAATGTTCTAGATATGCAGCATACAAATGGGGCTAATTTCAGTATTGCCTGTTTCTGACGAAATTAAATCTAAGGGAAATATCCTGGACCTGATGTCAAAAATCCCTCCCAAACGCCAATGGAAATTCAGAATCGTTCCATTTCGCGTTGGTCCCCTCTTATACAAATTGAGTTTGCTAAGCAGCCTATAGAACGCGACGGGACTCGACTGAATTCAATTGAGCCTCTGTTATATTTTATTCAACGGTATCTCGGCACAGAATATTCCCGTATAGTACGGAATGATTTTATTGAACGGCCATGCTGTGCCGTCGCTTATAAAAGCGGCCTTTCGGAGAACCGACTCCTCGCAATTAAACGTCGTCATGGGCGGCCCCCAAGGGTTTGGCGAACAAACCAATTAATAATAATAATAATAATAATAATAATAATAATAATAATAATAATAATAATAATAATAATAATAATAATAATAATAATAATAATAATAATAATAATAATAATAATAATAATAATAATAATAATAATAATAATAATAATAACAATAATAATAATAATAATAATAATAATAATAATAATAATAATAATAATAATAAACATCACTCCAAGGCTTGCATTGAGAGATTCAACCCTGCCCAGAGCGGTGGGCGGAAGGGGAATAACTGACATGCGCCTCCGCCACAAGAGCCAGGTTGAGTTACTCAGAGAGTATTTCTATGGTAAAGAGACGGCCTCTGCGCTGCATAGAGCTGTTATCACAATGGATGGAAGCTTATCTCCACTCAACCTTAAAGATACGGGATATAGATTTGACTAAGATTCCAATATCGCCATCCTTCAAAGCAGGTGGAGAGAGAAAGAATTGCATGGCAGATACCCCCACCTCCTTAGGAGCGAATATATCGACGCCCCAGCTACGATGAAATGGCTAACATCAAGTAACATATTCCCAGAGACCGAAGGATTCTTATGTGCAATACAAGATCAAATCATCCCAACAAAATCTTACCTGAAATAAATCGTTAAGGACGAAAGAATAACCGATACAAGATGTCGTCACGAAAACATAGAACACCTTCTTAGTGGATGCAAAATGATGCCACCGCGCCAGTATACGACCAGGCACAACAACTTTGCAAAAATAATACGCAGTGAGATTTGCCACAAACTCGGCCTTATAAAAAATAAAACGCCATACTATCTACTGGGACAAACAAATACAAACAGATAGGCCGGTACAACACAACAGACAAGTCATCATGATATATGACAAGGACCAACGAAATATTACTCTGGTGGACATTTCCGTAACCTTCCCCACTAACATTGACAAGAAGCATCAGGATCAAGTGGACAAAAACATACCGCTCGCTGAGAACATGAAGCAGACCTGGGCGCAGAGACGATCAAGACTACGAGACTATTCCCAGCGACGGGGGAAATCTCAACGAAGCTGGCACAGAATCTGGAAGCCGTCGGACTGCCCTTTCTACGCAACTCCAGAAAGGAATCATCCTATCAACCTGCAACATAATGCGAAAGGTGTTAAACCAAAAAATCACAATAGAACATTAGACGCAAAACTCCAGTGTTTTGTGGCAACACTTCACCGACACTGGAATCTCGACCAGTACTTACCTGCGTGAATTAAAATAATAATAATAATAATAATAAAAGTGTAAAAATCTACTGAAGCAATGTTTGTGGCATTTAAAACTAACACAGTTAGACTGATTAAAAATGACAAAACGACTAGCCAAAATACAAATAAACAATTATACAAAGGCCATTGCGGGCGACACAATCTCAGAACCTGATAAGAACAGTCTAAGTTAGATATAATTAAAACAAATCCAGAAGCACAAATGCACACAATATCAAAATGTCATTTGACACATGTGTGTTACTATGAACGAACCAAATGAACTTAACTAAATAAAGCCTTCTTGACAAAGCTTGAATGTTTATAATCCCGCATTTATAGGGGTTTATAACAAGGTTGCTGGGCGCATGATAGGAGACAGTTTCTAGAAGGTTTAGCAAAGTATGCTAAGTCTGTGGGAACCGATCTTCTGGAAGAAGACTGTTCACTTTTCATATAACATATATGTAATTACCGAAACAGTTAAAATTAAATTAAAAAATGTTTATCATCACAAAAACGTAATATTTCGAATGAAGATTTCGACAGATATTCATTTGTCTTCAGAAGAATTTGCCCTTCTGATTGACTCGCTACACTACTGCTTGCAAATATCCACTATTTGAAAATATAAAATTTTATAAGCTGGGTGCATAGTATTCACACGATCGTTGTCCTTGTGTTTTTTGTGTTATGGTTAGATATGCAGCTTTATTACGTACATTGTATTTAGGATATGTATAAATTTAATTAATTTCGCCCTTATCAATGTTTTTTTAATATTTTCAAGAGCTATAATTGCCCAATATCCAGCAGCCCACTTACTTTGAACCATGAATCTGTTGAGAACGTTCTGTTTTTTCGAAAAATTATTTTAATGAGCCATTTTCGCATTTTTTAACACACTTTCCTCTATGCTAAAGTCTGGACTTATGTTAAGTTTGTACAGGGTGAGTAAGGTTGATTATCTCATTGGTTTCAAAAATTATAAGAAAATGGTAAATACAAAAAATAATTTGAAAGTAGACTTTTTTAAATGCAATTCCCAATTTTTATTTTTTTAAATGCTTTTTGAAATTCTTCAACTTTTTTGTTAGTAATAATAAATACCCACACCTAATAGTTTTTCCAATATTTTATTAAATATTTTAATTAAACAGCTACTGTAGCCCCATTATTTTTGAAGATCACTGATATTTGATATTAACGCTAAGTATATGCAACTGAATTTGAATTTGTTCAAAATAAACAAATAAATTTGGATTGAAAAATCACGATTTTCTTAAACGGGACACCACAACAGACAGTTATTAGCAATTTTGGTGAAAATAACCGCTAAATCTTAAATTTGCAGAAAAAGTAATAAATGTATGTAATATACCTATTACTAAAAACTAGCTTATCTGATTTTTAATTATTATTATGAAGCAATACATTTTAGCATGAACGATGATCGATTGGACCATCCAACGAATCCACCGCTATCGATCCATTTCTATAGGTAATGATTATTTAAACATTCTTGAACTTCTCTTGCTGAAATGACATTCATTGGATCTCAATTTTATCAACGTCTTGAAGAAGCTGAGGTGAATCATTCTGGAGAAAGTTTAAATATCTAGGCCCCTTAATTGGTTCACGAAAAAAAATTGGTGCAATAACTTTAGTGTGTTGTTCCACAACACACATTAAGTGATTAATAATTTTGGTTTTGCACTTCCCTTATCCAGAATGAATTAACTGTTGGATGGCGATTAACTGCACCATTGCTGCGAACAGTCGCTTCATCGGAAAATATTATTTTAGACAAAGAACTTGATGCTTGTGTTCTCTATCGGTCTGATTAACGATGGATAGACAGATAGATCCCCAAATGAAGAAACCTCCAAATTACAACTCATCTATTGAAAACCGTAAAGAAGGCAAAATGTGGATAATGTTTCACGAATCAGGTTAAACCTCTTTTTTAAATCATTATTATTAACATTTTGTTTTATGTTTTGTTTTTTTTTTTTTTCAATAGGTGTCCTGTTAGAATAGATCGTAGCATTAAGTACCTACGCCTTACACTTTAGAGATCCTTGTTATCTGAATCCATAGAATAAATAAAATTGAATTGAAATTGAATTAGACTCGTAGCTTAAATATGAATAGATAAAATTAAAGATTTTGGGATGGATGGATGGTAAAAAGGATAACATTCCAACGAGGCTTATTTTTGGGAAAAATCATTGCTATTTGATAATTTGTACAGGATGTGCGAAATAAGGTCCCCAACTCCCTATAACTCGGAAACTCCTAGCGATAGAAAAAAAAATTACATAGTTTAATGTGATTTTTTTAATATTTAATGTATACAAGGTATTCCGTTCATTTCGGGTAAATACGAGCTTTCTGATTTTAAATAAAACACCCTGTATATTATTGCATTTTTTGATTACCCGAGAAATGATAGATATATTTCATATCTTGTATCTTGTATCTTGTATATTCATATCAAACCATTTTCTATTCTATCTTCTATTCATTGATGGCGTGAATTTTTCGAGGAATGCATGTAAAATATGAACACTTTTAACATCAGTGCTCATTGAATGTTTGACTGAATAATTAGATCGATTTTTCTACCAGGAACTTAACTGGAGAGGTGTATCACAACTTTTTGGAACACGCGTTTCCTGGATGTCCGGAAAACGTACCATTGGCAATGGTGCTTATTAATTTTAGGAATCACCCTGCATAATGTAAAATTTTCATATGAAAACGTTTTTCCTATTTTTTAAGGTTTGTTTTTATTGTGATAGTAGCAAAAAAATCTATGAATATTTTCAGGTTGACAAAAAATATTGCATGAAAATGGGCCTTTACTATCAAACTGAAAAGTCATATTTGTAATAGTTTTTTTTTGAGCGCGATAGTACCTACTCTCATGAAAAAAATCTTACCGATGAGAGCTTAATGAGGTTCGTTTTTAATGAAATGAAATACATAAATGTATGCCTACATCATCGTGGAGATTAACATGTAAGATCACTTTTATGAGAGTCAAATCAAGCTTTTACTTAAAAGGCAGACGGAGGGATTTTTTAAATCTGTTTTTTGAACATATAAGATACCAGTCTCGTTCTTTTTATCTATTTTTTTATAAAGTACAGATATATAAAAATATTTTCAGAAGCGGATAAGAAGGCAAACAGAAAGTTAGTTATAAATCCTATAAGTCATTGCACTCATGCTTTTTCTTAACGGTTTATTGTCAATTGTATAGGAAGAATCAACGGTCTGCTTTTTCTTTGTTACTGACATATAGAAGCATTTTTCAATGTTGAATAAAATAAGTCATTTGCCCGGGACCAGTCATATACTTTGCTTATACCATTTTGAAGTGAAAGTGCATTTGCAAATAATGAACACTTAGAGTCCTAAACTACCATTGGCAAATCGTCCATCAATAATAAAAAGAAGGGTAACGCGTCCAAGAATCGACCCTTGCGGGACACCAGATCTTGTGTAGCTTAAAACTGCAGATAACTACTTAAAAACCCACTTTCTTGGATTGATAGTGGGTTTTTCTTCCATTTTTCAAACAGATTCCAGTCAAAATCGGCTTCAAAACAGGAAATATCAGCTTAAACTATCATTTTTTGATCCAACCTTTTCATGTCAATATCTTTCAAATACTAGTCAAAATCAGTGTCTTCGGACATTAGAGTAACGCAAACCTTTATAAACCATTAGATATCGATGTAAAACCTACTTTCTGAGAAATAGTTGCCAATTTCGATAAGATCCCAGCCAGACTCTGCTTTTTCGCTTCTTATTGCACCGAAATTTAACTTAGAAATGCAGATATGTACTGAAAACCCCTCCTTTTGGGACAAATAATTGGTTTTCGCGCTTGATTTACAGCCAAAACTGGTATTTTCATAACTTACCGGACTGAAATCTATATCAAAACTGCAGATGACTACTTAAAAACCCACTTTCTTGGATTGAGAGTAAGTTTTTCTTCCTCACTTTAGATTCCAGTCAAAATCGGCTTTTCCGACACATATCGTACCTAAAACCGAATCAAAACTACAAATATCAGCTTAAACTATCATTTATTGATAAAAACAGTTACATATTCATGTCAGTATCTTTCAAATACTAGTCAAAATTGGCGTCTTTAAGCTTATAGTAACGAAAACTATGAAAACAAGTAATGGTCTCCATGGAAACGCCGCCCAAACAATCTGACGTCATTTCGCGAGATCCGCCGATTAACCTATTCGGAAAAATTTCAACGATTTTCTCCGTTTAACGATCGCCTCGGGCGCGATCGAAAGCGAACCCGAGCTTTAAAAACGTCAACTTGAAGCGGGAGAATAATAATAATTGCGAGTTGGAGGTCAAGGTCGCGATACCCAAGTTCAACGTTCTAATTCCGCGTCGGGCGTAACTTGGTCAGCTGTCGCGGCCGCCTGCCTGCGAGGTGAACGCCACCTTCGATCTGAAAAAGTTGCCTGCTTCCTTTCCGTCCGCATCGATTGCCACGCCGCATCGCTACTTTCTGCGCGAGAATTTAAATGGCCGCCGCCGAGAGACATTTAAAATTTAAATATCCGGGCGGCGCACACTACGTATTAAGTTCGTGTCTGGTTATTCTGCTGCGAATAAAGTAAAAATATGAATTTGTAGTACTAAGAAACGTTAAATGAAGATTAAAACGCATAGTCGCATTTTCCGGGATCCACGATTTGCAGTTAAATGGAGTTAAATCATCGGTTTTGGTATCTGGCAAGCATAGGGATAACATTGAAACTGCATGTATTATTAGAATTGGAGAAGACACTATTAAATTCATACAACCAACAAGAAATCTAGGGTTACATTGTGACACATCTCTACGTCTGATATCGCATATCAATAAACGTATTTTGAGCGAGTCGCTATCCTTTTACAAATATTTTATTTTCAGTTTTCCGAATCGTTAATTCAGCGCCAACTACGTGGACACTTGCAATTACGATGTTTTTGTTATTTCCATGGCGACACGTTAAACAACAACGTCCTAAACAATAATGGCGATGTTGACGAAAAATATTTTCGCGGTTGCGATAACCTAGATTTGCTGGCTTCGAAAGGCGTCATTCGGTGGACGATATACAGGGTGTTCCGAAAAAAACTAACCAAAACTAGATCTACGTTCAAAATAAGTCCTAGTTTTGGTTAGTTGCCCCAAAGGAGAAACATGCTCTATTTTTATTCTATTTTATAATATTATTGTTGTTATTAATATCATCAGAAAAAAATACAAACTATAGAATATAAAAAATAGCAAAAATGTTTCCATGATTCATGTATAAATTAGGCTTGTTCAACTTCAAATGATACTGTTCGTCGACGCCTAGCTGAATCTGATCTGAAACAAAGAAACCCACTTCACCAAGAGCCTATCTACAACTCAGGAAGGAAACTTTTTTTTCAAAGAAACTTTCACAGGCTACTGTAATACTTTTTACAAAATTCCAGCTGCGTCGGTTTTTGCTGAGTCGAAGTTGCTAACGTTTCGCAAATCATTCTGTTTGCTTCTTCAGAGCTTGACTGAAACTGGCTCGCGTTTTACTCTGTACCTGCTTATATATTGTTTGCGGGGGGCGGAGCTAAATGAGGGGCATAAACACCGTCTCGAATGACTAATTCCCATATTGGTGAAAGGTGAGTCGCGGTTAAGATTCTTAGGTTGTCTATAGATTTCTATAGACTCTCGGATTCTTCGTTGGTAGAAGATTTGATTACATGCAAGAATTCTAGTATTATCGAAGAAAATTTTATGTCCGGTTTCGTAATTGTGTTCGGCAACAGCTGATGAGTTTAATTGTCTTTGTCGTAAGACTCTTTCATGTTCTTTGAGCCTATTGGATATTTTTCGTCCGGAATGCGAAGTGGTAAATCTAGTTTTGACGTTATACTTCTTGACCGATGATTTTTGGCCTGGATTATGTTTACAGAAAACCTACGCACACAGATCGATACCTTAATGCATGGTCACATTACCATCCGGCCCAAAAATCATCAGTTATCAACTCTCTTGTTTACGGGGCCGTAGAACCGTTCCATCACAAAATACACCTCACCACAACCTTAAAACAGCAAAAACGAATGCAGGAGGAATCCAGAAGTTTTGTAACAATTAATAAACGTATACATAGAGCATACGGAAAATTAAAGGTATTATTTCCAAGTCGTCAATTACTATCGAAAAAACTAAAAACTACTTTATCTCACTCTTTAATATTGAGGCAGTTTCATTTTTGTGACGTAGTTTATAGACCAATCTTGCGATTGTACATAGTATACGCAGAAGGATGCCAATATCACATAAGTTCCGGGGAACTAAATGGTTATCAATGGAAAATCGACGTAAATTGCATTCTGCGGTTTTGTTCCACGGTATTATTTATACGCAATGTCCCTCTTATCTAGTAAATCAGATTAAATACAGAACCGACGTTCATAATTTGAATTTAAGATTTCAGTGTTATATCTCGCCTCCTCATCACTATGCCTATTGTTTTCTTATAACGTTTACATACTATACAACTATGTCCCCAGAAAATTTAAATGTTTGAATGTCACTTATTAAAAAAAAAAACAAACAGTACCTCCTCCTTATGTTCTTTTTTATTTTTATTTTCCCTTTTTGCCCTATCACTTCTATTGTTCATTCAAAATAAAACATTAGTACCATAACACTTAGCTCTTATTTTTAGAGATATAATTTTGCTTATATCTATTGAAAAAATTCTTGAAATAAAAGTTATACTACCGGATCTCGCATTTAAGCAAATTTAAGTTTAATATGTCAAATTCGAAGTCGACAGCTGTCAAATACAAAAATTGTAGCTGTCCATACTCTCGGTAAGGCTGTGTAATTTCAACCTGACATCTGAAACATGGTCTTCTAGTTATATCCAGTTTTCAGTAAATGATGAATCCAGTTTTTATTTTTTTGCAAATTTCTGACGCACCCTGTACATTTTCGAAAAATCTTATTCTTAACGATTTTTAGATTTAGATCTCGCTCTTCTCCTCGTTCAAGAATTTTTTTGATGTCCGTAACCGTTTTAGAGAAAAAAAATCCTGGACCGTTGCAACGATAGTTTTTATTTTTTTTTTAATAGTTACGGAATGCGACGGAAAAGTGGTAAATCTTTCAATATTGCTATTAGCATTTTTGAATTTTGCTTGTTCGTAAACCCCCAGCTTTAAATTGTATAGTTTCAGCTTTCGCAATAAGTGTTCCGGTACTTTTTATTAACCAGGTATAACCAAATAACTAGCAGAAATGAATTTATTGTAGTAGGTGCTCCGGAAAACTCTGAAAAGAAAAGAACGTTATCATTTTCTCGAAACAATAATGACAACATCCATTTCTTAGGCAAGCTATAATTTTTCTGGAAAATTGATGCATTTTTATAAGTGCCCATCATCAGTAATTGCTATCGTCACAGAATACTAACAGCCTGTGGCATTGTTGTTTTCATTTTTGGTGTTTGTGATTATCTCCGTACCTATATCGCGTTTTTGTAATAAAAATGCCCACTAAAAAACTTGTTGTGTTTGTGGTCATAACTGTAATGAAAATAATGTACATATACACGGGTAAGGGTAAACCTTCTGTACAAGTTAATTTGATGATGAACTTTGATGGAATTTTGTTTTGAACTGTTTTTTTTTAAACTCCATACAATAGACAATACTTTTTGGGGTTAGTGTTAAATGGTTAAACTTTATGCAAAAATAGGTTATAATAACTTGTGGGTGTGTAAGAAAAGTTCATAGTCCCAATATTAGAACCGAGATAAATGAGGATGTGTGTTTGAAGTGCTGAATAAAATCTACTATATAACGATTATATTAATTTATTAATTCTAGAAAACTAATTTCTGTGCAATTCTCATACAATTATGGCTAATTTGGGTTACATATTGAAATATGTTTTTTTTAACAAATTGTATATTGACAGGTTTGTTAATAGTTTTTAATTTTCTTAGTTACATATTTTTTTAAACAAATTATCCATTCGCAGGTGAAACTTTCATCTGCAATTACTAGACTTGTGTGATATCTAGTATCTAGTTATATTTAAAATTTTAAGAGGCATCTTTCGTGATTTCATTTTCAGCACAGGTCTAACCTATGAGTTTATGAAAACAAATGCTTTGCGCCGAATTACACGCACAAATTCTTAAAAAAAAATAGCTTACGCCAAATTACTTACAGCATTACTGACTGCCATAATGCTATAATGCTATAATTCCGCATACTGTAAGCCCTGCACTAGACGCAATTTTTTAAGCAACTTCTTTTCCACACTTTAGCTCCATTTTTGCCTGAAATTTTAATAGGATTTCGACATATTTCGAGAAAATACTGCCGTAAAAGTGCCGCATCCAAACATTGACGATCTGTCAGCGGCCATGTTGGTTGTTGAAAGGTCTTATGGGTCGAAAGTCATATTTTCCTATCAGAGCTGGCATTGCTTAAAAGTGGAATTTTCATCTCGCGCGTACGCACGTAGAATGGACCTTCTCAACTTTTTTTACATAGTTGCTTCATGAGTTCTTGTACTGTTATCATAGGCAAGGCGATATCGCTATTCGTCTTTTTGAATTCTGAGTGTTCAAAAAGCCCGTTATCGTTCCAGATTGAGTTTTGAGTTTTGGAGATATTTACGTGTTTCAGTGCTTTTTACTAACCCGATATATTGAAATGACTTGCATTTCCCCCCCTATAATAGACCGTGATTCTAGATACTTACTTGAAAATGGCTGATAAATTCCTGCTATTATTATAGAGGTGAATGGGAGAAATGAATTTATTGTAGTAGGTGCTTCGGAAAACTTTGAAAAGGAAAGAAGGTTATCATTTTGGTCTAACATTATTAACAACTGCTACTTCTTGCGAAAAATTCAAATCTGCAAAATAATTTCGACAAACATAACTATAACGTTGAAGTTGCAATTTCTATTTCGTCCAATCCAAATGTTAAATATCCGCAATACAACTGATTAAAATAGAATTGTAAAAAAGCTTATTTTGAGGAAGTGACGTGTGTTCAAAAACTAAGGCGACTTTTAAGTTTTGTTCTGGAAACAGGAAAAAGTCTCAGGTGGCCATATCCGGTAAATAT